CAAAGCTCATGATCATTTAAAGTCATATGCACTGAAACGGCGTGCTGAAAACAGAGCTGTTTTTGACCAGGTAAAATAAGTGTTTTCTTACAATACTAATGAGAATTTTTAATTAAAGTATATTACAAACTTTTAATTTAGACCCTAAAGAATCATATTAGCTTGTACAAAAATGGCATTATATGACCCCTTTAACTCATAATTAACTCATCTTGTCATATTTAAATGTCTCCTTGAAAAAAAAATGGTCATGCCTTAAAATATCTTGAATGTAACTCGACACCCTTGCCTCATTTAGTATACGCTGTTCTATGAATATGCAAATGAGCCCCGCCTCCACTCACTCACTCAGCTCAGAGATCCACTGGTTGACGATCACACGTTGATCTGATTGGTTACAAGGTCGTTTGTGGCGTCAGAAACACCAGCGATTTCAAACCGTGTTTTTGAGACTGTCTTTGGTTCACTGCAGTTTTAAGGAGAAAATACTCAGCAATGCTGTCGACTTATGAATTTACACATGGTTTGTCTTAAAGCATATTAAAAACACCACACAGACAAAGGGGGACTTTAAGAGTGAGTATATCAAACTATTGTAGTCCTATGTCAGTAATTATATCCTTGCACACAAATTCACATCTGCAGGTTTCCAGCGAGTTTGTTCAGCCAGATAAATGTGTATACTGTATGTGTGTGTGCTGATGAGTGAGCGTACTGTATCTGTAGATGAGAGCTGACTCTGCCGCCTGTTCTTTGCCGAATGACACTGGATCGATAGACTTTCCCAATGCCTTCCTCTCCACAGATCTATCTATCTCAGCCCCTCCGCTGCTGTCAGCCCAGAGACGCACTGTCATTTAATCGCTCAGGTAATTATAAAAAGCAACTTTCAGGGGGAATCTTGACAAGTTAGTGATAGATGCAACCATATGTTCTCTGCCTGTGCTGCCTAAGCACCATCAATAGAGTAGAGAAGCAGATTTTGTCTCCTCTTTTCTCATCAGCGTTTTTCTCTTTGTTCCCAGCCAAGTCGAAACAGTACAGGCCTATTCATGACTATATTATACCACTGTATTATAACCACTGTTATTGGTTATACTAATCTGGTGATTGTTAATGATCTAAGCCAATCATATGACTGTTATTTGTACAGTGCAAAGCATTTTTTAAGTCTAGTCTATCTGATCATATGGCAGATAGATATCATTCAAAGGACCATGACGTTAAGTCTGAGCGTCCTTTTTACAATTTCTTGAACATGCGGATCATTACATCATTTCTTTATTGCAACATAAGCACATTCTTTCAAAGCAAAGGCAGGAACTAAGTAAAACTAATTAGAGAAATAACAAGTTTACATCTTCTTAAAACCCTTCTTTGCCACTCTGTTAAAAAACATTTCATTCTCCATCAAAATTCCCACCAGAAGACACCAAAAGGAGCAATACAATCTCTGTGTTTTTCTGATAGAAGCGATATCAACAGTTGAACAACAGAGAAAACCACTATAAATAATTCATTCACATTCATGCATTTATCATAACCAACAAAACAGTGTACAAACATATTCATGGCCAAAAAATTTGACCAGACACATAAGCCACTTCATAAGAATGCTATGCATTATACATAGACTTAAAGATGGATGGATAGATAGATAGATAGATAGATAGATAGATAGATAGATAGATAGATAGATAGATAGATAGATAGATAGATAGATAGATAGATAGATAGACAGACAGACAGACAGACAGACAGACAGACAGATTGAAAGATAGATAGATAGATCGATAGATAGATAGATAGATAGATAGATAGATAGATAGATAGATAGATAGATAGACAGACAGATAGATATACATACAGATAGATAGATAGATAGATAGATAGATAGATAGATAGATAGATAGATAGATAGATAGATAGATAGATAGACAGACAGACAGATAGATAGACAGACAGACAGACAGATAGATATACATACAGATAGATAGATAGATAGATAGATAGATAGATAGATAGATAGATAGATAGATAGATAGATAGATAGATAGATAGATAGATAGAGATGGATAGATGGATGGATGGATAGATGGATAGATAGATAGATAGACAGACAGATAGATAGATAGATAGATAGATAGATAGATAGATAGATAGATAGATAGACAGACAGATAGATAGACATACAGATAGATATATAGATAGACAGACAGACAGATAGATAGATAGATAGATAGATAGATAGATAGATAGATAGATAGATAGATAGATAGATAGATAGATAGATAGATAGATAGATAGATAGAGATGGATGGATGGATGGATGGATAGAGATGGATGGATGGATGGATAGATATGGATAGATAGATAGATAGATAGATAGATAGATAGATAGATAGACATACAGATAGATAGATAGATAGATAGATAGATAGACAGACAGACAGACAGACAGATAGATAGACATACAGATAGATAGATAGATAGATAGATAGATAGATAGATAGATAGATAGATAGATAGATAGATAGATAGATAGATAGATAGATAGATAGATAGATAGATAGATAGATAGATAGACAGATAGATAGACATACAGATAGACATACAGATAGATAGATAGATAGATAGATAGATAGATAGATAGATAGATAGATAGATAGATAGATAGATAGATAGATAGATAGATAGATAGATAGATAGATAGATAGATAGATAGATAGATAGATAGATTACTCTGCTATATTGGTTAACATTTGAGAGCAACATTATTTAATGTTGATTAACTCAATTTCATGTATTCAAACGAGCCTTATATCAGAAGTGAAGCTTTGAGTTAGAGTCCAGAAGAAGGGGATGCTGGTAATCTGATGAATCGGGTATCATGTCTCCCCTCGAGTAAAATGGGGTTAAGTGATTGTTTTCAAGGACACAGTGGTGAAGAGATCTGTAATCACAATCACTCTCGTTCGGGCGACCTTCTCCTTACTGCAAGTGATTTATTTTAAACCTTTGTCTTTCCATCTGTAACTGTTAGACTTTACATCTGTACATGTGGTTAACCAAACTGTACAAGGCTGTCATTATTTATTTATTGGGCAGGTGCTTTTAGCCAAAGCAACATACAATTCATTCAATCTTCCCCTCCGCTCTCAAATCTCATGCTTTTGTTAATATTCAAATCTTTGCCTCATGAATGGGACAGGCTGACATCGGTAACATGTCCTACTTTTGTCATTGAGACTTGCATGTCTCATAATCGCCACGTTTGAATATGCACAAACATGAATGATATGTGACAGAGGGGAATATTTTCAGTGCATAACAATTTAAAATTCACACATTTGCAAGCACTCAATGATGTTCTTATTTGTTGTTGTATTTGAACTTGACAGTCACTATTACTCACTAATAATTGAGCTTCTTTATGTTTAAACTTGGTCAATCAACTTGGGGCTTGCAAACGGTTCTGTTGTTCAAACTGTTTCATGTCCCATCTTATCTCAACACAGCCTGATCACATACTGTTCCCTTCTAAAATGCATCTACATGTTTTCCCCCATCCGATCAATATAAACCTGGAGTGAAAATATGTGTGGAAAAAAAGCAGCTTTGGTATTCTAAACACCTCATTTTGTGTTTCACAGAAGAAAAAGTGGCCACACTTTAGATTAGCGTCCAATTCTCACTATTATTAACCAACTATTAACAATGACTTTTGCCTCAATAAACTTATAATTACTGCTTATTAATAGTTAGTGGTAGTTATTAAGTTTGGGTATAGGATTGTGGGATGTAGAATATGGTCATGCAGAATAAGGCATATATAAGTAGCTACTAATAAACAGCCAGTAATATGCATGCTAATAGGCAATTAGTTAATAGTGAGAATTGGAACCCTAAACTAAAGTGTTACCAAAAAAGTCATTAGTGTTTGGACAAACGGCGAGTATATGATACAATGATTCTTTTATGAGTGCACTATTCCTTTAAGTAGATGGTGCTCGTTTGGATTAATCAGTAATTAGTAACTTAACTACAGATAGCATGCAATCTGTTGTGTAGAGTATGACCTGAAAGACTGATTATCTAGCAGTTAACACTTTGGATTTTTAACATGCCAGGCATTGCATTGCAGTCAGACTCATCTAATTCTGTCTCGGGACTCACCGTTGGCAGTGGTGATGCTGGCCACAGGTAATTATGCCATTGATTAATTGTCAGAAATAACAAGCCCACCTCTTCCAGTTACCGCGGTGCGCTCGAGCGGCTCTAATAGGGCGCGCGGCAGTTGTAGTAGCGCGTGCCGCATAGTTTCCTCGTGATTTGTGGGGAGACAAGGCAAGGTGTGGGTTAGGGACATGGACTTACTGAGGGATTGAATCAACATTTACCATTATCACGTTATTGTCGACAAATTTCACCTCATCGTAGATGTTTTTGGCGCTCCCATCTGATCTCGTGAGTGTTTGTGTAAAAAGGGCGGGAAAAGCACTTTTCAATTCAACATCGAAAAACTAAAATGAATAAAAAGATTTTAATAATTCAAACATCAGGACGGAATAAATGAGATTTCTATAGCTTTTGTATAAAGACAGGCAAAGTAGAAAATAACATCAAATGAGAGTCAAATAGCCTAACAAAATATAGACTGTATTTTCTTGGTAGCTATATAGCGAGAAGGAAACGTGACGTAAAACTATGACTGTTAAAGAAAAAATAATTGGCTATAGATTTAATATCCTATATTAAATAACTTTGTTAAAGGTCAAACTGTTAAAAGGCATCTAACTTTGTTAAACGTCAAGCAGGTAAAATAACAAGCACTGTACGTCAACAGAATTACTGTAGTGTAAATCATCATAGTTGTTCTATGCGCACAGATTTGATCTGAAGATCAGCCTCATTAGGACTGCGGGCATCAAACATCCCACAGCGAATAGACTGGAGATCTGCCTCACACACACACACAAAAGTGCAAATGGCTCAAATGGTCACTAAATGTCTTTATTTGCATTGACCCCGCTGTATCTTTCACTGAAGCAAAAATTAATGTGATTCACGGGACGAGAGATTTTGCGCAGCGACCCAAAGGATGATCTGGATGCTTCATCCGCAACATGGAAAAGCAGGAGAACACACTGCTGCTGCATCCCTGCAATAAAACACAACCAGGAGTCTGGGAATTTCATCGGCTGAGGATTTTAGCCTGTAACTGAGCAATTTAAAGGTGGATTTATGTGGACAAGCAATCCATGGGATGGAGACGGAGATGGATGTAGAACTACTTTAATGAGCGCGAGGGTGAGTCTAGTTATTTAACAAACTATATGTACTAAAGCGGATCCACAAGTGGGGTATCTGATGGAAATGTAGCCTTTGAAGTATTTGTGCAGCTTATTTGGAATGCAACAATATAAATAAAATGCATAATTGTTATCCTCGTGCGTTTCTTAAACAGAATGAAGCAAAATAAAGAGTATAAACTTGGAAAGTTAATTTTCTCTCTTTTCCAAAAGTTATCGTGCTTGTTTGATAGAAATATATGTGCAATATCCTATAGAAGACCGGAGTGTCCAAAAGCAGCAGCAGCAACAGCGCTATAGAGGATCCATGTCACTGACAATGGCAAATGGATAAATGAAGCTGGTAAGCGTCTTAAAATAAGGCTTTCTCTGATCTAAAACTTATCTGAAGTGTGTGATACATATCATTAACGTTATGCTAGGAGGTCTCGGGGTGTCCTCAAGAAGCAGGTGTAGAGGATCCATGTCATTGCATTGGTCGCTGTCCACCGCGCCGGTGGTGCTGAGATCTGGATGATGCAGGGCTGCCGCTCCCTTCACATTAACGAAGACAATGGGCGCTTTCTGCTGCTCGCGTTGCTCATCATCGTGTATTTGCTGTGTGGCGCTGCGGTGTTTTCCGCCATCGAGAGGCCGTCCGAGCTGCGGGCACACGGGCGCTGGAACCGGACCCTCCTGAACTTCAGTGACACGTTCAATATCAGTTTGCAGGATCTGAGCTCCTTCCTGAAAGAGTACGAGGTTGCGATTGCTGCTGGAGCTCGGGTCGATGCTCTTCGACCCAGATGGGATTTTACAGGGGCGTTTTATTTTGTTGGGACAGTGGTGTCCACTATAGGTAAGTCACCAAAATGCATGATTTTCTTTAATGGGAATAATTATTCTTAATAATTTTTTTTTATCTTCTTGGGCAATAGGAAAAACGATTTCAGTGCTTTTCTTAAAATTACATGTTTGCTAATGTTGGCTTTATGGTAACACTTTATTTTGATTGTCCCTTTTGAACATTCTGTTGACTATAAGTAACTTTGCAACTCTCAGTATTAGTAGTATTATCTGCTAACTCTTTATTTTGATGGTCCCAAACAGATATTCAACTGACTATAAGTAACTTTGCAAAACTTATTCTAACCCTACTAGTCTACTAATATTATACTAACACCCTAATGAGAGTTAGTGGACATGTGGGTGCAATGTTTCTCATATTTAACAGAATGTTTTAAAGGGAAAATCAAAATAAAGTGAAACCGGCTTTATTTCTTCTACTGATTACGAAAGTACAATGGAAGTTGATCAGGACAAGGGCTTATTTGCTGCCACCATATAGGTCTCAAATCTCAATAGTGCTAGCACATATTCAAACTTATTATTTATAAGGTCTTGATGGGCCAAATTTGAATATGCAAATGTATAAATTAAATGTGAGAGCTGTGGCTAAACTAGGGTGATATTTTAAATAAATAATGGTTTTCAGTCTGTAACTTGCTTAAAACTATCGTGTGATGAATCATAAGGACTACGTTTATGATGCTTTTGTTTTTCCCTTTCGAGCTTGTTGGTATAAATCACTGTCCACTTTCATTGTATGGGAATGATATGTAAGAACAGTCTCTTGTGTTCCACAGAGGAAAGTAAGTCATAAAAGAAAGCATGAGGAAGAATAAAAGATATTTTATTTTTGGGGTGAACCATAAACTAGTGGTGAACAAGAGCAATTGTTATTTTCTTCACATATTTACTGTTTAAAAGCATACATATATTTTCCCCAAAGACTGATATCAAATGCGATCTTAATGCTCGAGCAGGATGGATTCTGATTGGCTATCAATGTTTTTATCACTCATCAGCTGGGAAATTTTTTTTTCTGCAAGTGATTCCTATATTGTTCCTCTGTGTCGTTATCGTTAAAGTTGTGGACTCTATTGCATTTGGAATGATTTTTAAACTATATCTTTATCATTATAGTTATCCTCCTTGGTGTGAACGGATGGACTTTAACACTGTATACCTAGAATAGAACTACAGGACACAGAAATGAAAAAAAAAAATACAGTCAGCAAGTGCTATTTTTATTTGGCAGCAACCGCCTCTGGCTCTTTGCTTGACCCCATGACCTTTCATTGAATCTCACAGCGCACTTCTGGCTTGCCAAGACAACATTTCCTTGCTCTCTGCAGAGACTTCACTTTTCCATTGGCATTTCCCCAGCATAAGTCCTCTGAAGAGCAATAAACACCCTCTAGTGTTGACTCTTTCTCTCGGGCACCAGGCGGCCAAGCCAACTCCCTGCTGGACTTCTGCATTCAGGACAAACCCTCCGGCTTGCAGTTTGCTGTGGGGCTCATGTCCCAAAAACCAAATGTGCTGATGCCCACATGTCCTGGATAACATTTACCCGGTTATAGGTCACTAAAGAGCAAGTACCCCTTCGAGGCAACCCCCTGGTTATTGTGTATTTGCTTCCTACAGCCCTTGGCTCCTGTTTTACACTTTCCATCGGCAGTGAATAATCAATGGCCTTGCACTTTGTAGTTCTTTCAACTCAGAGTAATGTATTCAGCAGGACTGTCACTGTACGCTTCATGCTACCTCGCATGGCACTCAGTGGTCGCCTTCGCAGATGAAAACTAAAGCGAATGGGTGCCGTTCTGTTTCAGGCTCCTCCTCATATATTGTTGTTATTTCCTTTAGCTTAAAACCGTCAGGATTCACGTCGGGTTGCACAAGCCATTTGTATGTTCTTAAATAAATTGGAACATAGTCCACAATAGAGGCTTTGTAACTACTAGCTAGTTTGTAAGTAACTTTGTACTTAAAGGGATAGTTCACTTTGAAATTAATGTTTGGTATGTTTTAGCTTACCTCAAGGGCATCCAAGATGTAGGTGTCTTTGTTTCCGCAGTAGTTTCAATTTTGATATTTTTAGGTCAAACCGTTCTTGTCTGTCAGTCATATAATGCAGGTCTATGGTCACCACCTCAAAGAGCATGCACAGAGAAGTCCAAATTAAACATGATTTAATGACTCGTAAATGTAAGTACACATTGATGGCCTTAGACACGAAACGAGCGGTTTGTGTGAGAAAACGAACAGTATTTATATCGTTTTTACCTCTTGTAACCACAGCCACGTCCAAGTGATCTGAGGGCGAGGGCGCTTCGGTCTGCGCAAGCGCCGGAAGTGATCTCTCGCGCGTGTACGTCACTCATTGTTTACACAGAACAGAGATTGTAGGTAAGACGGCTAATTAAAAATGGTACTAATTTGCGCTTATCCGGGATGTTTAAACCGTCGTAAAAGAAAACAATTCACAGTGAAAGGTAACACTTCCGAAATCTCTGTGTAAACAATGAGTGACGTACACGCGCGAGAGATCATTTCCAGCGCTTGCCGGAAAAGACCGAAGCGCCGGCGCCCTCAGATCACTTGGACGTGGCTGTGTTTACAAGAGGTAAAAACGATATAAATACTGTTAGTTTTCTCACACAAACCGCTCGTTTCGTGTCTTAGGCCATCAATGTGTACTTACATTTACGAGTCATTAAATCATGTTTAATTTGGACTTCTCTGTGCATGCTCTTTGAGGTGGTGACCATAGACCTGCATTATATGACTGACAGACAAGAACGGTTTGACCTAAAAATATCAAAATTGAAACTACTGCGGAAACAAAGACACCTACATCTTGGATGCCCTTGAGGTAAGCTAAAACATACCAAAAATGAATTTCAAAGTGAACTATCCCTTTAATTTGGTTTCACCATTTGTTCTTAAGGCAGAATGTAGGTTGTAAGTTTGGAAGTTCAAGTCTGATTGGCTGGTTTTATGTACCATGTTGATAAAAATGAACAAACTTTGAGGAAAAACTAATCATTGGATTTATCAAAGTTTGCAGGTTTGTTGCAAAGATACTCATAGACACTCGGCTGAAAGTAAGCTTGATGAACACCAGCAGAACTATATTGTTTAAATGAGAAACAGCAATTCTTATCAAAAAGTCTTCACAGTTTGTAACTTTTTTTTGTAGAGCATTATCGTAACTACCCTTTCAGATTAACCGGCCTCTAAACGAAATGTAAAACAAAACGAATGTGGCTTGTGGATTTACATTCTGGCAGGCAAAGGTCTGGCTCTACAGGACTACTAAAAGCAGCACAGTCTAGCAAGTATAATTCTGCTTTATTTACCAACTAAGCTTAAATGAATGTGTATTTTGTGCACTGATGCGTCTCCATCTTCCTTTCATCTCTGTGGGAAGTCTCTATATACCTCCCGCCTCCAGAAGAGCTTCAAAGTCAGTGAATGAGAGGAGCTTTGTCATGATGGGGTTTTTCTCAAACACTTCTTCCTCATCTAAGCGAAACCCTCTGCCATTTCACACACACCGAGTCACAATCAGACTGAGACATTATAATGGGGGAAAACATTTATTCACAGATGCATCATTGATTCAATCAATTATTCCTCAAACAATAATGATAATCTGAATTTTAAAGTGATTATTAATCATTCTGTTTGTCGGAAAACATACTCAGGATACAAATTAGTGCCGTACAGTGTGCAACAAACTGTTTACACTGTGGTGTTTGTGCAGTCAAACAGACACACTTGTCTTCACGTGAGTTTATTAAGTCAAGTCAAGTCAAATATATTTATATAGTACTTTTCACAATACAGATTGTATCAAAGCTGCTTCACAGTTTCAATCAAAACAACTTAACAGTGTTTGTTTATTACTGGAAAAGACATCCAAGTTTGGTAGAGCTGATCAGTGGTATGATGGGTCATTTAATTTGAATATCCCCAACTGAGCAAGCCAAAGGCAACAGTGGCAAGGAACCGAAAAACTCCATCAAGTGACCTGATGGTGTCCTATTAGTTTATTAGTACTTATTTGAGTAAGTACAATACAACTGTCACCTTAAAATAAAGTGTAACTCAACATGTTAAAGGAATTGGTAACACTTTATTTCGATGGTCCACTTAAGACATTCTTCTAACTATCAGTAACTTTGCAACTGCATGTCAGCTAGCGGTCATTAGAGTATTAGTAGACTGTCTGCTTAATATCTGATAACACTTTATTCTGATGCTCCTAAACAGACATTCTACTGACTATAAGTAACTTTGCAAGTATGTTAACTTATTCTACTAATCCGAACCTAATAGTCTACTAATACTCCAATGACTGCTAGTTTACATGTACTTGCAAAGTTACTTATAGTTAGAAGAATGTCTGAGTGGACCATTGAAATAAATTGTAACCAAGGAAGTTAAAGGGTTAGTTCACCCAAAAATGAAAACTCTGTCAGTAATTACTCATCCCTCATGTTGTTCAACCCCGTAAGACTTTCGTTCATCTTCGGAACACAAATTAAGATATTTTTGATTAAATCTGAGAGCTGGATCACTCCTCCATAGGCTTCTAAAGGGATCGAAACTGGCCGGCCCAGAAGTTATGAAAGACATTGTTAAAATAGTCCGAGTGACTACAGCGGCTCAACCTTAAGTTTATCAAGAGATGAGAATACTTTCTGTGCGCAAAAAACAAACAAAAATAACAACTTTATTCAACTATTCATTTCCTTCTCTGTGGGCCGTGATACAGTATTTCACGTAGTGTAACAGCGCAGCGCTTCTAGGTTGTACGTCACACGCATCACACACATGACCAGCGTCGGCCAATAGTGAGCCTGCGTGTGACGTACAACACAGAAGCGCTGCGCTGTTTCACTACGTGAAATCTCACGGCCCACAGAGAAGGAAATGAATAGCTGAATAAAGTTGTTATTTTTGTTTGTTTTTTGCACACAGAAAGTATTCTCGTCGCTTGATAAA